TGAGTGGCGTTCATTCCAGAACCAAGTGGCTGGTCCCCTTCTGGCGTTATCTATCAAATCGTGGTCATTTCATCTTAGGAACTGTCAAATGCGCCCTACAGCGCCAACTTGGGAAATCTGATGAGAAGTGATATTGTTCAAGACATGCATTGCATGCAGTCTTAGAAGCCCCCGCTATACACATGACTCGCTCAGGCGGCACACCTTTGTTCCCCGACATTTGGCTCCCGAGGAACCCACACGGCAGAGGGGTTCGGCAACGGGGAAGAGCCCGGAAGGCCCTCAAAAACTGGATTTCCCCTTCGCAAGACCAACTCTTCAGGCTTAGTGGTCCTTGCGCCAAGGAGGATCGGCGTTACGGCATTTGGTAGTGCGGTTCCGGATCCTCAGCGCATAAGCCGGGGTTTTACAACAGGCTGACTGATCCTAACATTCCATCATATGACATGTAAGTCTCCGAATATGAAATCAACCATCTCGAAAAAACCGGATGAACGGTTACGCACGCACAGATGATTTACCGCACGTGAACCGCTGCGTTTATCACAATGCATGGTGATTCTTCAGAGAAGGGATCGGCAGTCTGTGCTTTGCAATCACTGGTGATCAGTGGAACGACGCGGAACGACCCCAGGCTCTTAGCCCGAGTGATATATGCAAGCTGAACGACACGGGCTCTGCCGCTGCATAAGGCTTGTGACTAGGCAATTTAATTCGACGTGCCAAGGTCGAGCTGCGACATGAACCCTTGTTATTGCTCAAAAACGTTGCTTGCATAGCTTCTAGTGGACTCCTCGCCCACTTTGTTGAAACTCTAAAGGACCGGATAACAAGCTTAGTTTGACCAAAACTTGTTCCATTCCCCATTAGTACCCTTTATTCTCGACTATCTTTAACTATTGTGAATCTATTGAAGTGCGTTGCCTGTCGTGGCAGCTTCCCCTCCTTTTACGCATTGACATGACAAATAACCCTGGTCCATCACCGCATACCCAGGGCCCTGAGCTGAGACATTTATCTCGTCTTCTTATCACCGCTGACTCAGAAACCCTCCGAATTTATTCAGATCCTTCACTTTAGTTGACAAGTAGCGTCAACGCCGCGGGTCAGCACGGACTTTGGTGCCAAAAATGACTGCGGGACGGTGTAACGTCCGCGGTGATATGACATTGGGCTACTAGGTAAATGCTTGATGTTTTTGACAGGCAGCTAGTGAACCCTAGCAGAAGTAGATATAAGAGTAGCACCAATCCCTCCTTGCTTCTGAGATCTGCACACAAACCTTCTTGTCCAGATCGTCTGTCATCATGCGCTGCAACGTCTTGTCACCTTCGCTCTTGGCGCTCAGCCTTTCGACTAGTGTCACTGCTCGTCCCGAGGTTCCTTTCATCAGTACACTTCTCGACCCCTTGCAGCATATCGTCAAGTCTGCTTATGCTGGTGATGGACTCAAGGTTGGACATCTTGGGGAGCTGGGTGGCATTCCTGGTGTCGACGCCGAATACGACTATGTTGTCGTAGGAGGAGGCACAGCGGGTAACACCATTGGCTACAGACTCGCGAAGGCTGGTTACAGTGTCGCTATCGTTGAAGCTGGTCCTTTTCTCGAGATTGCCAAGCCTATTCTTGCGACATCGCCTGGTGGAGTGACGGCTGGCAGTGGCGCAAGTCTTCTCGACTCTAACCCCCTTCGCGATTGGAGATTCACGACTACAGCGCAGACAGGCGCTGATAATCGCGAGATTCACTATGCTCGTGGAAAGGTCCTTGGTGGCTCATCTCAACTAAACTTTCTGGTGTACCACCGACCAACAAACGGTACTATGGCCAGGTGGGCTGAGGACGTTGGAGATGATAGCTATACGTGAGTAAGAACCCGAAAACGTAGTCAGAATATAACTAACAATGGAACAGATGGGAGCAAATGCTGCCTCACTTCCAAAAGAGTCCCTCATTCACACCACCAGACAATGAGAAGCGCAACGTAACAACCGACTACGATGCCTCCGCATTCTCCAAAGAGAAAGGCCCTCTCCAAATCAGCTACGCCAACTATGTCCCCTCCTGGGCTGTTCTCGTGGAAAAGGGACTCAAGTCCCTTGGATTTAAGGGTATCGATGGTTTCAGCAGCGGTAGTCTTCTCGGCTACTCATACACCACAACAACAGTTCAACCCAAGACCGCTACCCGAAGTGCTTCCGACGACTTTGTCAAGACTGCTCGGAGTGAGAAGCTCAAGACTCTCAAGGTGTATACTGAGAGTCTTGCCAAGAAAGTGACCTTCGATGATGACAAGAAGGCTACTGGTGTTGAGGTCAGCTCTGTTGGTATTGACTACACTCTCAAGGCTAAGAAGGAGGTCATCGTCAGCGGTGGAGCTTTCCAGTCACCTCAGGTTCTCATGGTATCTGGTGTTGGACCCAAGCAGCACCTGGAAGAGCTTGACATTCCTGTCGTTGCTGACCTTCCTGGAGTTGGTCAGAATCTCTGGGATCACGTTCTCTTCGGACCCTCGTTTGAAGTACAAGGTCTTGAAGACACTCTCAGCGCGGCCATCAACAACGACACTATTTTCCAAGGCGCACTTGATGCCTATGCTCAGCAGCAAGCCGGTCCTCTGACATCCAACCAGGTCGAGCTCTTGGGTTGGGAGAAGGCTCCTGAGAAGTACCGATCCAAGTTCTCCAATGAGACTCTCAGAGATCTTGCGACCTTCCCTGATGACTGGCCTGAGATGGAGATCATTCCTCTTAACGTCTACTCTGAGGACTGGTCATTCCCTATCCTGCAGCAGCCCACCGATGGAAAGAAGTACACCAGTCTTAACGGCGCTCTCGTCGCACCTCTATCCCGCGGCAATATCACTCTTCGAACAAACTCGACTACCGACGCTCCTCTCATCAACCCCAACTTCCTCACCAAGAAGGCCGACCAAGAAGTTGCCGTCGCGCTATTCCGTCGTCTTCGAGAAATCGCCAAGTCTACTCCTCTGAAGGACACTGTTCTCAAGGAGGTGTATCCTGGAGAGGAGCACGAGTCAGACGAGCAGATCCTCGCTGTCCTTCGTGATACTCTCATGACTGTTTGGCACGCTGCTTGCACTTGCAAGATGGGCAAGAAGGATGATGAAATGGCTGTCCTTGACTCCAAGGCCCGTGTGTATGGTGTCAAGGGACTGCGAGTTGTTGATGCCTCTGCTTTCCCTGTTCTCATCCCAGGTCACCCTGTCGGTACCGTATATGCTTTGGCCGAGAAGATTGCTCATGATATCATTACGGAAGACAAGAGTGAGGGTTCCGCATACAAGGTTGATATTGATGTGTAGGTTTCTTGAGAGGTTCTTGAATTATTTCTTTAATTATTTGTTAGACTTGCCTTATTCCTTTTTAGACGTACATAGACACATTCACTTAGAAACTCTGAACATGAACTGAAGCAATTTCTACCCGGATCATTTGTTAAGACTCAGCCAATCTCCATTGTGACTGATCAGACTCTTTCTCTACCTCGGGCCTTGGTCGACAAACAACATACTACACCATTAATTACATGTCTCCTCAACTGACAAAGCCCTCATCCGCAAAGTGTTAGTGGAGTTGGTGGAGCCTTGCCCTGACACGAAAAAAAGTGCGGATGGCCAAAAATGAGGGACACCAGATTTGAACTGATAACCTTTAGGAGTCACGAATTCTTCAAGTTCCTCTTGAAGATGCTTCGCTGGAATCTAACGCGCTACCGTTGCGCCAGCCCCCCAATGTCTGTTGTCGAGCGGGTTGCCAATTGTGATGATGCATTCCCAAGTCAACGAGCCAATTAGCGTCATGATCTCGGTCACCATTCGCATCAAGGAGCTTTACAAGATCGGTTGGTGACGGAAGGAAATAATTCTCTTTTTAACTAAAAGATACTCATAGTTCTTAGACTCTGCTAAGTTGGTCATGAAATGTCTGGCTTACCGCCTTATAAGTTAAAGACTTTAGTTTACACTCAACCTCCTAAGTAGATCTAATAAACTGTTAGTACTCTAAACAAAGGCTAAGACACACAATAAGTACCAAATCGAAATTTTGAGGCAAAAAGTGGAGACGGGCTCAGAATTCGGGTCAATTGCTCAACCTCGCAAAAAACAAACGTTAGGACCGAGCGTGGATCGAACACGCGACCTAGGGATCTGCAATCCCTCGCTCATACCACTGAGCTATCGATCCTTGTAATCGTTGACTGTTCCGATTCGAAACCAGCTACCATATTCCAAGATCTTTTAATCGCGCAAGCGACAAGGCCGAGGAGCTTCCGAGATGTTGATGTCAAGTCAAAATCATTTACCTGTAATTGCGTAAAGACACCAATCAAGGCGGAAGCAAATGTGAACCTGGAAGTCTTGTCTGACAAGCTCTCTCTACTGATGAAAGCCTCATGAAGCTGCGGTTGACACTCGTGGCCGAGAGTTTAAATCAGGACAGAGAACTACAGCAGAGAGTTGCTTCAACCCAGTCTTGAGATAGCAATTCACCGAATATCACTGAAGCTTTGGTGGAAGATGGAGCTTTGTATCATGTCTGCGAAGTGAAATGTCAAATCTATCTTGTGTATTGCTTTCTACTAGGAAGTTCGTGTTCAAAGAATATCTGTTTGGTGTATGATTTTATCCGTTGACTAGTAATAGCTCATATGAATTGAGTGATAGCCACAGCAATAACTTGATTTCATCACATGGACTCTCTGGTAGTGATTCATACCTAAGAGCTTGGCCGCAAACTTGAGTCCCCGTCACACGGTGGCAGTCCAATTTTGTTGAACATCTTACGAACACTGCCAGATCAAAGACTCAAGGTGCAACAAACAAATGCCAGTGGCATTAGCAGAAAAAGCACCGCGATTCATCCTTTTGACTTGTGAAAGTCTCCACTTTCTAGCTCAATAACTCCTTGTTCCGCTCTGTCTCTCTCTTCTCTTCCCACCATCCATCCTCACACCTTTGATCAACAACCTTACTGAGAATGGACGAACTACCCGCCACGGCCCCGAGCAGAAAGGAAGTCCGCAGATACTATAGAGGGCTTCCGGATAGTCCAAATCTCGTTGCGCGATCCACCACGACTCCATGGAACGACAATGGCATCTATGAAAGATTACTCGACCCCGTCGGAAAGCACGCTGTTGTTCCACTCTGGAATGACTCTACGGGCTCACTGCGTTGCAAGATTCTTGAAGCCGTCGAGAACATCGACTGGAACGCTATCGACATCCTCCGTTGCGGTTCCACAGATTTTAAGGATCGCGACCTTATTCGACCAGTCATCCTTTTCGTATCGGTGGAGCCTAAATATACAACCTGGTTGAACGGAAGAGCCGTGGCCCTCAAATGCTGTGAAGTTCTACGAGATCACGGTATTCACGACGTCGAAGTCGAGATCAAGGAGTCCAGAATCACCCAGTGCTGCTCGGATGATCAGGATCAAACAGAAAGGTAAGACGCATAAACCCAAATTGAAATCTTGCTAACCAAATTTAGTGAACCATCGACAGCAAAACTCAGCCCTTGCATCCCCACTCTTCAAGAAGAGGGCTACAGAAGGGATAGTATTCAGCTCTCTGAGTTCCTGGGTACTAAGATCGCCTCCTATCGAAGCCCAACACGTGAAGGCACTAAAGGTCTTTATGTACGCATCCGAAATACCGAAACCGTCGTTGCTTTGACCTGCCGACATGTCATCTTCGGACCAGAGGAAGAGAACATCGACGTTTACCACGACACTCATAATAGTCGAGGTATCATCCAACCTGGGAACAAGACGTACCAAGACACGACGGACTTCCTCCGTGACCAAATCTATCAGGCCCAGTCAGCGATCGATCTTGGCGAGTCCTCCACACCAGTCCCCGGACGACGGATTGAATATCTTCGTGGCTACAAGGACAGAAAAGAGAGTAGCCTGAAGCGACTTGAGCCTTTCGAGTCAATGGAATCACGAACTATCGGTCACGTCCTTTTTTCACCAAAGTTCGGATTGGGTCGTTCTTCGCCAGCCCGCTTCCGCGACTGGGCTCTGATAGAGCTGGATCAGAAGAAGCACCAGACGCCGGTGCAGAAGCTAGAAAACAAAGTACCCGCGGAGCTTGCTGCAGTCCTGGCTCGTCCCCAATTCATGTTCGGGCGGCATTCAGACCAGGAAAGAGAGCGAAAATACAACATGCCTCGCGGGGTTTATACATCCACACAGACTGGTGTCATGTCAGAAGCCGAAATGAGATGCCCTGACTTTGAATTCACCGTTCCAGGAAAGACCATTGTTGATGAGGATTTCATGCGAGTTTGCATGTATGGTAGCGCAAGCGGAGCAAGTCATGGTGTCACCAACACAGCCAGATCCGTCGTCCGAAGATTCGTTGATGGCCGTCCGGTGGTTTCCGAGGAATGGTGCATCCTGGGCTCAATTCAGCACGGAGCGAGGAAGAACTTCTCTACCCAGGGAGATTCGGGTGCCAGTATCATGGGAGATGATGGTCGTGTCGCGGCAATTTTGACTTGTGGTGCCCAGGGCGGTAACCGAGGAATCCATCATATCTCGTATGCGACGCCCATCGAGTCGCTGTTGGAGGATATTAGAGACCATGGATATGATGTGGAGTGGATGGGCAAACAAGACACCACCTGAACATCTCCATTGCCGTCTAGAAACTGAAAATCGATCGCGGCTCTACTGGACAATGAAGATTGTACTGGATATCATTCTGTTGTAGGCCATTCTGGTGGAGTAAACACGATGGGCAGCTAGGGAGGCAAGTGGCAGATACGGAAAAGTTCGCATGCGAGTTTGCAAAGCGTCTATTGAGCGGAAACCATAAGAAAAGAACTTGGACATGTTGGCCATTAATGTAGATACTGCTTAGCAAAGCTTGTTGAATATGACGCCAAATTGATTGTGCTGTTGACATCTAAAGTGAGCCGCCTCTATAGCTCAGTGGTAGAGCGTTGCACTTGTAATGCAAAGGTCCATCGTTCAATCCGGTGTGGAGGCATGCGAATTACTTTTTGTCAGATCGATGAAAGTTGTATTTCCTCGAGATGCCTGTTTGAATCTCTAAACAGTTTGGTCACCCAATTGCAATTATTTTGTCGATCGCACTCTGGTAGATGAGGTCTGGACTCTACGAAGCTGGAAATAGATGGAGCACGACACCTATTGCCGATAATGACAGTTGCTGACAGTGCTGTCCCACAATAACTAACACGTCCCCGCCTCCTTCAAAGCGTATTCCATAATCGCGGGCTCTTGCTTCACCTTCGGCATATACGTAACAAGAGTAATACCCGCAATAAGAATCGAGTTCTCTGTGATCAAGAGATCTTCTAGTCCAAGGCCAAGTGCCAGATATGAGGCGCAGACTGTTCCCAGGTCCAACCTGGAGATCTTTCCAGGACCATCATGAGTGATGGCATCTTTGGCCAGAGCGAAACTGAGAGGGTTTATAAGCATACCTTCATGCGTGTAAAATGAACCACCTGGATTTCCAGCACAAACCTTCTGCACTTCGGCATTTGTGACACCGACGTTTCTTTTGTCGAGGAGGTAAGCTGAGGCGCCGGTGCCCTCTTGCGGCTGGACGATCTCGTCTAGGAAGCTGGAGTATAGACTTGTCGTCGGGACATATCCTGAGTCACCACCGTCGGAGCGAAGAGTCTTTATGAAATCGCTACCAACTTCTTGTTGAACGACAGATGGCGCGTTGGTGATTCCCGAGACGTCGACAAAGTTGGCTAGGATAGTGCCCTTGTAATCTGCGCTAATGGCGACATGATCGGCCGTGACCTTGCGAGTCGACGGCCAGTACTTGAATGCCCATTGAGTATTGATGTTGCCCTGAGACCAACCGATGATAGCAACGCTTCGCTTCGAGAGGGAAGCGATGTAGTTGAGCGCGTACGCAGCGTACTCGGCATTAATTTGCGCATCACCAAAAAGAAGTCTAGGCACATTGACCCATACGGGATCAGCCCAGTCAACACCGGTAAGCAATGGGATGAAGCTGCCCCGAAATGCGGTCCACCCAGTAGATCCGGTACCAGGGAACAGAATCACAGGTAACTTTTCGCCGTAGGTAAATGTGTCTGGGATGTAGATGGCAGACCTCAGCTTGTCCTCGCTGACTGTATAAGGCGCATCGCAGCTTGCCGCCTTTGGATAGATGCTCTTGGGCGGATCAGGGTTTCTGCATAATGTTAGACGAACACGCTGGTACTGAAGGGCTTTTCCTGGCATACTGGTTGTCACTTCCGTTCTCTACGGAGCCAAGGCCTTGGGCATAACCCATTAGGTCATCAGTTGACCCAGAAACGATACCATTCGCTATCAGTCGCGCGCTGTACTCGACGATGTTATCTGGTTCTGACTTTGCGACCCTTTCAGTGATAGATGAGGCGTCGGCAACGCTCTTTGGCTTTTTGGTAGGCTTCAACTTCTGCAGTGTATCAAGTGTCTTTTCCCTGTCTCCTTTACTCAAGGCGTCGCTGAGTTCATCGAGCAGTCCGCTGACAGTCACAGCCAGAGCATTATCAACGCCATTAAAAATACCATTCAGGGCTTGCCGTTTCTCGATAAGCGAGGCTCCATTTGGGGTGTATGGCGCTGCAAACCCATCGCCAGCCAATTTCAAAGCTACAAGCAACGCTGCGAAACGCATTGTCGGTGCATAAGAAGGTGGTTGACTCTAGATAAGAAAACAATGGTCAATTGACTGTTGCAAGATGGCCCAGCTTGCAGGACATAATTAGGGAATCCCTTTTGCGGGGAGATCTCCACCCATTACGAGAAGACACAACAGGTTACACATGCAATTAAACTCAACCCACAATCGAGGCCTCAGGTAGCAATGGAATATGAGACCTTGATATAGGGTGTCTAAATAAACTCAGCAAAGAGATCCTAAACTCAGCAAAATTACCCTAAGTCTTAGGCTAAGTTACCTAAGTCTTTTTGTCATTTAGGATCAAGGTCTCGACTTTCCTTTCCTCCCCTAGCGAGGTTACCTTCTTCCGGTTATACCGCTTGTGCTCGGTCGTACACGTTTTGATCTATGACGCGAGAACCGCGATTCATGTGACCTATTCTCAGCACAACCCCTCATCTCCATGTTATTCACGAGATGATCGCCATCTGCTGCAAGTGGGGGAGTCGGGATCGACAGTGGCTTCGGTTTGCCCCTGTTGGCTGGCTTGAGTGGTGCCCGCTCGGTCCTTGGAACTATTGAACCCTATTAAGTCAAGTGCCTCGGCACGGGCATTTCACTCCGCAGCGGCAGTTGAGATTTGTAGTAGGATTGCAGAACTGGCGGGAGTAAAGCTTCCGAGCTGCAGAGTCCACTCGTACCGAATTGACGAGAAGTTGTTCGGTGGTTGACCGCTATACATCTTTCGGAGATTCATTCGGTATGCATCGTATGCTGTACAATACCACATGTCTCAAGATTTGTCGCACAAAATTGGCAATAAGGCTTTTATTATTGATGCAGTGTAAACTAGTACAAGAAACTTCGCAAGACTCAGAGGTTACATCCAATTTCACCTCCCAGTCAGAGGTCGACAGTAACGGCAGAACTCAGTACAAACTCCCCAACGACTAGATTATGCCTTATTTCCAGTGGTCACAAGCCCTCCCAGAATGCCGCCAACACCCTCAATCACACCGCGTAAAGATCCCTTGGAGACACCAGCATAGCTTCCGTACGACTCAGTGTAACCAGGGAACTTCTCAAACAACTTCATGTTCACCTTCTGCAGCTTCGGACAAGTCTTCCCAGCAAGCAGCTGTCGAAGCTTGTCCGCCAACGGCGTCAAGGCCTTGGTCACGTCAGTGAACTGACTTCCAAGAATATCAGGTGCAGCAGCCATAATGATCTGCATAACGAAACACTCGAGGTTATCGCCTTTCAACAGCATCGCGGTATTAAATACACCACCGGTGAGATCGCCGATATCGACACCTGAGAAGGAGTTCACCTTGCCGGTGTTGCCACCGATGTTCAACAAACGAGGGTACTTAGCAGCATGCTCAAGGACATCAACGAGAAAGTCAGGAATGGAGAACTCGTCTTCAACGGGTCGACGATACCAGTTCTCCGGGATGCGCTCCCAACCCTGGTTGACTTTGAAGTTCCCAGGCTTGCTGCCCTTAACGCCAAAGAAGCTAGTAAAGACCTCACGTGAAAGATATCCCTCAGGATACTTATCGGAATGATTAGCCATCATGCGAGGAGGGAAGGAATACGCAGCAGGCGAGACCAAGATTCCAGCGAAGGGCGAATAGAAGAAGTGACTGTTGGTCTTTTCCGAATCTTGGAAGCTCTTGTAGTGGAAGGGTGCAAGAGCAGAGTACTGCTCAGGTGCAGGAGTGTTTTCACGGATGGCACTCCAGTACTCGACGAAGCGCTCGAGAATGACATGGTAGTTGTTGCCAGTCACATAGAGATCTCCTCTTGTGGCGCTGACATCAGACTCATACTTGTTGTGACTACCGCTGAGGCCAGATGGGGTGCCGAGAAGACCGCCGCCGTTGAGAATGTTCTGACTGAAGCGGCTTGGACCGCCGATGGAGTAGCCGGGGTTAAGGGAGACTGGATTGCCGTTGAAGACGGTGCCATAGACGGCGAGGAAACCACCGAGGTCAAGGCTCATGCCATAAACCTCGTTAGTGGCCTTGATGATGGTTTGCATGTCTGCGACACCGTTTCTCGGAAGATATCCATGGTTGGCCAAGGCATTGAGTCCAGGGCAGGGTCCTGTAAATCATTAGATTGAACTCATGACGATGAGCTGAAGATGACTTACCTCTTTGATCGCCGGCTTTCAGGTTGGGAGGCAGGAACTCATGCTCGCCAGAAACACTGATGCGCTGTTTCTTGGCATCGAACTTTGCAGCTCGCTTCTCCTTCGCGAAGGGGCATTCACCTGCATCCCTCTGCTCTTCTTTGGAGTAAGGACATGCCGCAGGGCTTCGCTTCGCATGCTCTTGATAAATCTTGAGCTGCTCGGCGTTCATCTGAGGAAACGCAAGAGTTGTTGGGAACAGGCAAGCTGCTGTGAGCCAAGACGACAAAAGTATCTTCATGGTGAAAGGTAGGCGGTGAAGGAAGACAGGAAGGGGGAATCGCTGTTACTATGGATAGATACTGGTGACAAACATCTCGACTTTTATCAAGTTTCTGGCTTCTGAACCTCCCCTTTACTTTCTTTTCTTCTTTTCCATGTTTTGCTCGCTGAATTATCTCCTTACAGTAAATCCGTATCGATGACGTTCTGCATTGCTGTCATGTCTCAGTTGAACAATCCAACAGCACAAATATCAGCCCGCTAAGACAGTTCCCAGTTTGTCTCACTAATTGCCGATCTTGACAGCTAAGATCTTGGCTACTAGAGATCACCAATGCTTTATTGACTTGGAGTCGTCAAATGCAAGTAGTTTGTGGAGTTGTGATCTTCAATGGAACCAAAATATGGGTATTGCCGGATTTCCGTTGAGCTAGAGGCAGTCTAGTTGACTTTATCGAATGCTAAATATTATGCTTGCCATTAGAACTTCGGTGATTGGTGAGTGTGAGCCGCACGCCCGTGCGATTTTGGGCTTTGGTATAAAATGGTAAGCAAAGATACGAAAAATGACAGCAGAATAGCCGTTTCATGACATCAGTCTTGAAAAAACGGTACTGATTCTCGTACCTGTCCAGGGTCGTCTGAGCTAAAAGAAAAACTTGTAGTTAGCTAACTCCAATGAGAAGTAGTCTCGTCTTCAATGACCTCTTTGGGAATCTCAGATGGGGTTTGAACATTGGCCTACATAGGCGGCCACTATACTTAGCTAGTGGAGCTTTCTACCCGAGCTTTTTACGAGTAAGAAAACACAGAACTCTTTCATGACTCACAATGCCGAGCATGCTATGACAGATCTATGAATCGAGACGTTGTGACTATGAGCAGCTCAGAGACGCCTTCCACCGTGGCATCTTCAAGGTATTGATTTCTCAAAGACCACGGATATGGTGTCCCCCAACTTTGCAGATCCTCCATTCTAGTAGACGGACCTTATCTCCGGATCGACGCCAAGAAAGATAGTTACACTAGCAGCCCTTGCCGATCGTCGATTCAGCCTACAGCCCTAATACATGAACTGCCATTGGTGTGCTTATACGAGAACAACACGCGCTCGGCCCTAGACTCTAGCATACCCCGTACGGTAAGGTGCCTAGGGGAGGAAAGAAAACTCAGGACTTTGACCCTAAGCGATAAAAATGCTTAGGTAAATCTAGCCTAAGCTTAGGGGACTCTTTACTAAGTTTATTTTGACACCGTCTATTAAGGTCCATTATTTTCTTGCCCCCAGAGGGGTGCATAGGTGAAACACCTGCAGTTTAACTGACTTTGACGGTGGATGGCTGTTCAAGCAAGCTATAACATACGCTACTGCAGTTCTGTGGATCATAGTTTGGTGACAAATACAAGAGCATGATGTTCTTTCTTGAGAGCGGGCTTGCTCCGGAAGCTATGATACCTGTGGTTGGGCAGGATTCATGATAAGGGAAAGGCCATATCTTCCGCTGCCATTACATGATCATAGGAGGATCGAAAGGTAAAAGAGGAAATCGTGCCACCGACGACGAATCCCAATGAGTCGCAATCTTTGGGTCTCGATGCAACACCAATATTTAGATTATCCTAAGAAAAAGGTCTCCGACTCATCTGATAAAGATGCTATGACCTGCCTAAAACAGGAATATAAACTTTGCCATACAGAATTCTCCTCGAAGAATTCTTTCCTATATAGCCTACACTAGAAGATTCATAACTCGATTAAAGATAGATAATTGAACGCCCCAAAACTCTTATTTCTTTAGATTACGTTATAGATTGCAAATTCTGCTATCTATATGGACTCCAAACTTTGCAAATTGATTGCGATGCATCTTATTCTAGCATAGGATATTTCATCTAGTAGTCAATCGATGTTGGTAAAATGCCGAAAATAGCGGCTCGCTCTTTTCCGAAAATACACCCACGGTCTAAAATGCCGGCATAGACCCTAGCTAAAAGCTGACATAGCAGCAGCAACACGTTCATAAGAATAGTAACATGGGAGATTCGGGCAATTGAGACGCAATAAGCCGATTGGACTTCAGGCCGATTTTTACAGCATAATTTCGAGGCTGTTAACCTATAAGTGAGCTCTTTATCTATACCTCTGTCAAACTGTTTACTATATCCTTTTCAGATTACACGAGATTTCACGATGGCATCTCCGTTCTATGTTCCGGTCTCGCTCGATCATACCGCCCTTCTTCTCTCCGATGTTCAATCTCAAATCCTCCGACGTTTCTCTCAGGAAGAGCAGGCTGCTTATCTCGGCAAAGTCCTGAAACTTCTAAACTTCTTCCGCTCAGAGATCAAATCTCGTCGTGTCTCAGCCAAGTCAAAGGATCCTCGCTCCTTGTATGACAATGTGCCTCTGATCATCCATCATACGCTTCCCTTCAACATCAACTCAAACGCATTCGTGTCACCTTACAATAAGCTTGCAAGCTGGGTGGCCAAGCTCGAAGCAGGCGGTGCCTTTGCCAATGCGCCTTCTGATCCTCATCGTCCTCACTATGGTGTCCCCTCTGAGCTAGTGCCTCCAGGAGGCTGGGGTGGGAAGGACGAGATTTTGCTCGGTAAACTACAACCAAACTGTTTTGGGTCCTCAGATCTACTCGCTTACCTACGGGCTCGTGGGATCAGACATGTTGTACTGGTTGGATTGACGACTATGGGGAGCATTCTGAGTAGTGCGAGGGCTGGTGCTGAGCTGGACTTTCATGTCATTTGTGTTGAGGATGGGATTATTGACGATGACCGTGAGGTTCATGAGTTTATCATGAAGCGCATTCTACCTAAATTTGTTGACGTTGTCACGACCAAGGATATCGTGAACCTGGGAAAGGAAAGGTCAAGTGGCTAGATAGCATCAGACTTGAGACTAAAAATATCGGTCAATTCAAAATACATATTTCTTATACAAGTAAATATCCCAACAATTTGACTCCCGCCTATCTATCGTAAAACATATCTCATAAACTCCAAGCCAAACTATGCATATCTATGAACCAACCGCGGCGCACTCGGCATTTGCGTAACACCCGTCGTATGCTCAAGAGCTGGTGCATTTGATCCGTCACTAATATTTCCGCTCTGTAGTTGCGTTCCTCTCTGCCTTCTTCTCCTCTTCCTGATACAAGAGAATATCACGCAAAGCACCAAGATCAGAATAACTCCACCAACTGAAGCCGCTGTTGCAATGACAGCTGTTCTGTTTCTGTCAAACCAACTTCCTGAGGATCCTCCTCCTCCTCTACTACCTGAATCTCCATCGTCGTCGCAGTTCTGTACGTCAACAGGGCATTGACTTGAACTTCCGTTGCACGTCTCTTCAGGATCGCAAGAGGATGTACTTTCGCGGCAGACTAAGCCACTTGAAGCGACTCGGCATTCGTCAGTGCAGCATCCATCCGTGAGTGGATCGCACTCTGCGCCGCTGCGTAGTTGGCAGGTCGAGGGGTTGCAGCAGGAATCTGCAGGGCATCGGTCTTCACCACCACAGTCGCATGACTCGCCAGGTTCGACGATGCCATTGCCGCATTGACTGTCGTTGACATCGGGCACCTCGTCCTCACTGACAAGGCAACTCGTATCAACGTGTTCCTCGCCAATGCCTGTGCAGATAGTGCCAATAGTGCACGGCGAGAACTCCTCCAGACCAGGAGAGCTTTGGGGGTTCATGATGTACTGGTTCCGAGCATCGCAGGTTGTCTCGCTTCGGGGACAGCAATCATCGGAAGGAGAGTATCCTGATGTCCCGCAATCGCCTGATGTACAATCATGAGAAGCTCCAAGGTTATGCGCCAGCTCATGCGCAAAGACCTGCCATTCCGAAGCTGTGCGGACAACAACATTCGCAGAGGCTGTACCGCCGCGACCCCATGAAGATCCTCGTGATCTATTACACAAACTTCCAATCCAGGCGATGCCAACAGTTGAACCACTTCGGCAGGCGCTGAAAAGCGACCAGACAGCGTTATCATCGCGCAGTCTGCCCCTCCATTGTGTAAATAAGTTTAGGCGGTCGTTTATGTCGACGTTTGCTGTGCAGGGAAGGTTCCAGGGCATTGATCGTGGTGCGTCAGAGGGACAAGATGGGTCGCTAATGGTCAAATTCTGAATGGCGAGTGCGATGTTGAAAGTGTCTTCATAGACTTGAGATGCGGTGTTCACTTGGGCAATGATGTTGTCCCGAGCATCTTGCATGTTGTCGAATTCTGCTGTGTACGAACAGTCGGCTGCGATACCTATCAAGGCGACTCTTCGTGAGTTTGGACATCCTTCTGTAGACCCAATCACATCTCTGGGATCGAACCAGTCGTTGACGTCTTGTCGTGCTAGTAGAGGATGGTGGGTAGCCTGGTCATCGGAAGTCTGGCGGCGTCGATCATTGTACCTGTGCGCCTGGCATGTCGGCTCATCTGAGGATGATCTTTGCGAAAGAGCTCCGTCGCTTTCGTCCATAGTTTGTTTCCATACTACCATCCGCCCAGATCTCTTTTCGAGTTGTCCGTCCTGAATTTGTCGCGCCTGGCGGTAATTCGAATCCAGCGAAATATGATGATAAGTACCATCGTTGGTGAAAGTGCCTTCAATGACGTGTCGGCCTTGGCGATATCGCACCATTACTCGTGCCCATCCTACTCTTCTCTGTGTCTGTTTCTCGATGTCATTTACAAAGGCTGCGCCCTTATATAGTAACGGGCGTTGACTCTGAATATCCGTGATGACACCATGTTTGTCTGTGGAATTAAGGTGTTGAACGGTAGTGAGACGCGATACAACATTTCTGGAAGGCTGTAGATTCAGTGTGATTCGTTGACGTTCATAAGGAACCTCAAATCCGACCTGAAATGACGATGCCGAGTCGAGAGTATGTGGACTTTGAGAAAAGTCCAATTTCTCAATCGTTGATGATCGATCAATGGTATCTCTAGCGACAGATAACGCTATACGCACATGTCAGTATTGTGTCATCACGATGCGAGCCATAACATACCTTGCACAGAATAAAAAGAGCAGACCTGGGAAAAGATCAAGAAAAAGGTCAAGAGACTCATAGCTATCAGCAGTCCACAGATGTTCACCGTCACAGACCCTTTGGAACGAGCATGGCAGAGTGGAATATTGGAGAACCATATATGAAGATCTGACGTCGGATTTAGCAGTTTCAGAGCGGCATGGCCCCATCTATGACACGGGGACTGTACGCGTTCCCTTGGCCAGTTAGCGAAGCCAAGACCTAGGTGCGTCTGGGCGGGTTCGGCTTCTTCCAAGGCAGCTGAGCCACTCTGGCCTCGTAATTCAGGTAGTGTGATTTTTCTTTGTTACACAGATTTCGGAGTGCGGGTTGTGCGAGGGTTCTTTTCACGGCTATCTCCATGGATATAATTTTATGTGGTATTGATTTGACTGGTACTGTCTCAGCCTTGTGTTGCTCAGCTATACTGAAACTGCATCTACTAACTACTTCCCATTTCTGTAACTCTTTGGCATATAATGTTTGAATTCGTTGTTATTGATGATACCGTGATAGTCTCAGTTACATCCTCACATTAAGCTTAAATGTTTGTGTGCGGGAAGCCCGGGCTCCGGACCCCGCCATGGGAGGATGACATCGGAGATGCTGACAAGGCGACGCTTCCTAAATCCGAAAGGCGAGAACCTTATCCACTCACGGGGTTTCAATGACGCCTGAGCTGACGTATGCCATCTTGGCATTGAAATTGTCAGCATCACAAATTAAGGCCGCGTGGGCATCACAGAAGCCACTTTCTCTTTTGGAATTAGGTATTGGAAGAATTTAAGCTTAATCTCGGATCTTTTCTTGTTTCATTGGTGATTCAAATGGCCATGTCGAGATGAGGATGAGGGGCAGACCAAGCCACCAGGGCAGACAATCACAACGTTCAACGACAATGCAACATGAAAGTATGGATAAAGAATTAAAAGAAACGGCGGTGAAACCGACAGAGAGGCAGCCAAGTACCCCCGCAACATTCATCCTACGGCAGTAGCATCATATGCAAGCTGCTGATGCGCTAAATTCTGCAAGCTCAAGAAGCGTTAGAGAACAGTACAAGCGTGCGTGGAGACGGCAGCGCCCGGATGCGTCAGGGTCTCTGCATCGAAGAATGCACCGAAGGAATCCACAAAACTCTATGACGCCAAAGAAGTGAAGTGCTTATGGTCCGCGGCTGGGTATTCATGTACAAAGAGAACCCTTCGATGGCAATTTGCACTGCCTGACCGGCCAATCGACAAATGGTACGGTCTACGGTGCTTGGCATGAGTTCGTCGTCATTTTTGGTGGGAAATGTCTCGGCGGTCTGAGCGGCCAAGGGCGCTTTGAGTCATCAGTCTGCTAATGCAGAATGATAAGGGTATCGGATACTCAGATGTAGCAACGCATCATCACCAGAGAAATCCATGAATTCTTTGCGCTCAATACCAATCATTCTTGCAGACAGACATGGCATCGTCAGACTGATCTCGGCCGATTACCATAACGAATGGGCCAGTCGGAGGATAGATGGGAGTCCACTTCAGATTCTGTTATCAGATAAGATAAGACCTCCATTCCAAACAATCTACCCTGCATGTTCACTAAAATCAACCAATGCCTAATGATTCAGCATCACTTACATTGAACACTTACTATCATTGATTAAACAATATTACTCAAGACATCTTCAGGATATATACTAAATTTATTTCAAGCGGTTTTTTTTTTAAAACTATTGAGTGGAGTAGGTATATGTCTCAGCTGCTCATAAACGCAACTTGCGACACTTGGCCAGAGTTCAAGGTGAGATGAGAACTTGGGAGAGAGGGCCGCTGATCTTGGATGCCTTCTCAAATGCCTCCGCAAACTCCTTCATGGGAAAGTTACCCAGAGTCTGTACTGCATCAAGCTTTAGATACCCTGCCTGCACCAGCTTGATCATGTTGCGCATATCATCCTTGGTGTACATCCACTTTCCCTTGAGCGTGATGTCATTGAGCATCATGAACTGAGTCGGCAGTTTCAGTTCTTCATGTGCGCCCATCAGGCTCACCCGTCCACCGCGACGAAGTGACATAATACAACTGTGGAAGTGAGTGCTACTGATAGCCTTGCCGGGAGAGATGTCGAAGAAAGCATCCACCGGACCATCCTTGGTCAGCTCTTTGACATCGGCCTCGATGTTTCCAGTGTTCAGAACTGTTCTAATCCGTTCAGGGTTCAAAGCCTGCACCTTGTTCAGAGTTTCATGGTTGCGACCGACGGCGATAACTTGAGCCCCCATGGCCAGAGCAGCGAGAACAGCAGCGCTTCCAAAAGTTCCAGCAGCGGGGCTAATGACGACCTTCTCACCAGATCTGATGGCTATATCTTGGAGCCCTCCAAATGGAACCGAGATGGTCCAAAGATAGGCCAAATCGGCCATTGAGTATCCGAGACCTCCTTCAGCTGGGTTGCCCGTGAGTCGGTGCTCGTCCAATGAGAAGCAATTCTCCAGAGGAACTTTGGCATACTCTGCATAGGTGCCATCTCGCCACTCACCCTCCATGAGCTTATTACTCGCAGTATCAAAGCCTCCGGAGAGACCATGGAGGATAAGGGAATCGGGGTTATCTCGCGCCTGAATAAAGCTGTCGAAGAAGACAAGCTGTCCAAGCTTGAGAGAAGTCGCATCAAGCCCAACAGCGGCGACGCGGCCGATGGCACTTGAACCTATGACGAAAGGCTCAGGGTAAGGATAAGGCTTATGACCACTGTAAACTCGGTCTGCGTAGGTCAAGACTCCAGCCGATAGAACGCGGATCACAGCACTTCCGGGACATGGCTGAGGAGTATCCTGGGTGACTACTGAGATGTCATAGGGATCTCGAGTGGAATGAAGGACAAGTGCTCGGTGGGCCTTGGGAAGTGATGCGGTTGTAGTTGCCATGACGAGCAAAGTAAATTGTTGTCAAGTTGTTTGAGATGAGGCCCTTTAGGTTCTGTGTGTAGAAGAATACTTTGTCTGTACTTGCTTGTGCGAGGCATATACTTATATACATTTTCTCTGTTTAATCTCCAAAAATAACTGTCCAGTGAATATGGTTGCCCGTAGAGTCAACACCAGTCAAGGTGCTACTATCGAACCATCACTCAGGCGCTGGAAACAACAGTCATACCACAAAGGATTAACTTCAATCTCCCAATCAGATATGACGAAACCGGGTTCGGGTTTAAAATCAGTCTACCGCCCGCCATTTTATATACGATCATCCCCGGGACACCCGGACTTAACACGATTTTAAGCCCGACGCCGTATAGCGCATAAGTTCTGGGCGCTCTGCCATTCGGAGTCCGCTTCAGTTCTCCTCCAAGTCCTCGACCAATCATTTTGAGTATCGATGGCTTCTAAAGTTCCCTCAATTAACGCCGGGCCCGGACGGTATCAAATTCGCTCGTGCAACACCTGCAAAAGTAAGAAGACGCGATGTGACAAGAACACACCATGTTCGTCATGCGCTTCTTCGGGTAGAACATGCATTTATCCACCGATTGGGCAGCGCGTGAGGCGGACGAAGAAAACGATTTTGGCTGAAATGGCCGGTCGCATTGCGAGTTTAGAGCGCAACCTTGCCGAAGCGACTACGCATGGGAATTTGTCCAGCAACAGCTTAGAACCAAGCACGATTACGCATGAGCAGGAGTTGCCTCCAGAGTTGCTATTGAAAAAGGAATCGACCGGCCAGTATCTTAATGAAATACTGGTAACTCGAGTCATTGGTGACGTGGGCCCGGCTAATACCATGTGATGATTGTGATACTAATCAGTATCAGGACGAAAGCATTGCAACTGCTCTATCAGCATCGCAGCAACAGCAGAGAGAGCTTCCAAGCTCTCCCTTCGACGTAATGGGAATCATGTCCTCTCCTTGCTATACCCAACAGCCTTCTGCATTTCACCCTGGCAAAGCTACTGCCGTCGAGCTTTGGAATATCTACCTGAACAATGTTGAAATCATCCTCGGACCTAAGTTGACACACATCCCTACGGATGAAGTCAGAGTTTATTCAACCATTGATAATCCCGTCACTGCAAAATTCGACGACCTTGCATTTTGCTATAGTGTCTACTTTGCAGCGGCTGTGTCACTCGACGATTCTACAGCGCTCTTCTTGGACAAGACCACGGGCCTTCAACGTTTCAAAATGGGTATCGAACAGGCCTTTGCTCATGGAGACTTTTTTAATCGGCCAACATTGACTGGTCTACGAGCTTTAGCTATATACCTTGTGAGTTTTCCCCACCACCATCCTCATGTGTCATGCCTAATCATCTGGAATCAAGTCAGCAATACGTGTTCATAATCGAGGGAAATCTGTTTGGATTCTCAATGGTCTCGTCACTCGGGTAGCTCAATCTCTTGGACTCTATAAAGATGGGACTAAGCTTGGCTTGCCACCGTTTGAGTCGGAGCTCCGTCGAAGGCTTTGGTGGCATATTATTACCAGAGATAGCCGCTCCGGGGAGGACTTTGGTCTCGAAGACCCAAATGAGCTGCTATCGACATCTGATGTCAAGCTACCCTTAAATATCAATGATGCTGATATCTTCCCCGGTATGGAGGAGCTGCCAGCGGAACGGACCGAATGGACCAGCATGACGTTCTCATTGATCAATGTCGACTTGGCTAAGGCTACGGAAAAGCTCAGAACTGGAAACGCCTCAGCATCAACATTAAGCAAAGAATGGAGAGACAAAGTCTTCCAAGAAGTGTGTACCAAGACCAGGGCCAGACTAGAGAATTGCAACCCAGTGACTCCGCACCAACGACTTACAGCCCACTGCACAGACTATCTTCTGCGCAAGCTAGACTTTGTCACAAACCAACAATGGCTCATATCGCAAAACAGGGATGTCAATGACTCCGTACTAAAAGAAGAAACACTTGTCGCTGCTTTGGATATCCTGGAAGCGAGGACAGCTGGAGATGATCCTTTTCTAGCGCAGTTCGCCTGGGCTAAGAAGGTTCATCCACAGTATCATGTAACATTATATGTTCTGTGGTATCTGTGCACTAAACCGCAAGGTCCACACGTTGAGCGCGCATGGCGGGCTATAGATAGTATCTTCAAGCAGGAGATGGCTTTTGACTTTATTGGCTGTACTGGAGCTAAACCAGCTGTTCTGAAGGCGCTCAGGGCTAAAGCTGAAACGCTGCGGGAGAATCTGGAGGCACCAATTGCACGTACTGGTTGTAACCCAGACCCTGCTACATCAACTGAGCTAGGCCATATCGATGACCCTTTGAAATTCATCGAAGGCTTCAATTTCGATGACGAGGTCTTGGAAGATGGAGTTCCATGGTCTTCGTGGACTTCGCTCCTTCAGGGACTTCAAG